ATTGCCCGTGCCAAATTGTCCATTGTGGGTCTGGACCCCAAGCCTTCGTCAGGCTAATTCAGTACCGTAGACCATTACGGATCAATCGTGTTTCATTACGGGATTCGTATCGGTTTCGGCTACGGGTCACTCAAGTGCGAATTGGTTGACTTACACTGCTCTCATGATCATTCAGGTGAAGATACATCCGTATCTTTGCTACAAGGGACGACCCAGGTTAATATAAAATGGTCCAAAATATTCTAGACCAGCCGAGTAAAATGGTGGTAATTGGCTACCCATTCTAGTTATGTGCAATGGAGTCATTAGCTGACATCCTAGCTTACTCATTTGCTTACTACAGTGAATGCATTTGCTCAGAACTCTCTTTACTGCTGCACCACATTTTGTTATCCAGAACCGCCTCCTAATCTCAGATAACACGTGCTCGGGCCCTGAATGACCTTCCTTCTCATGAAAGTTATGTATGAGAAGTTCGGTTACATAGTGTCTTGGGGCAGGATAGCTGGGTGCCTTGCGTTTTGTGTCAAATGCGCTTATTGCAGTCTACCACGAACTCGAAGCATTCCATTTACTAAAATTGGATACAATTTATGTGGAGAGCTACCCCTGTGCACGTTTCTCCGAGGGTCCATTAGCGAAACCTGATCGTCAGAGAACGATTCTGCTTGAACTAGACGCACAACATTGTCGCATGCAAGCTAAATTTCCTCTGTCGACAGTCTAACCCCCTTAGTGACAAGGTACATTTCTTTCCAGACATTACTTTGATATATTGTGTAAAGTGCCTCAACCAAGCTATTACTCGTAATAGCTTATACCATTGCTAATGATAAGAAAGTAAATTGACCCTCATCTGGACAGTTGTTTGGTTGATAGTCACTGTGCGCTTAAGCTCAATCTGCCCTATGATTTCTTCAGTGGAGACCAATTTAAATGGAGGAATTTTTTCTTCTACCAGGGTACATACATTACCATTTTTGCTATCCCTCAAGTAGGCTGAGGCTCCGTAAGCTGATTCAGACGCGTCACTGAATATGCGCATTTGCGCTGACTCACAGGCTCTTTGGTTTTCACTCCCCATACACCTCGGCAACTTTAGTTCCTTTAACTTGTTGACCTCACTAACCCGAGATTCCCAAGTGCGCCGGTTATTCTCACCTACTAGTTCATCCTATCCTAGAGTTTGCAATGAAGTGCTTGTAACAATACTCTACCCGTCAGAAATACTGGAGTAACGAGACCCAGAGTGTAATACAGAGAAGCAACATACGATAACAGTTCTCTTTCAGTGAATGGCTTTGGGATTGCTTCAAACGGGAAGACAAAGGCATTATCAAAAATTAGCCAATTCATGCCCAAAGTGCGCACTTGTGCATCTAGATCCATATTTACCTGTGCATAACTAACCGCCCTCCCGCTTTCTGAAATATTGCTTATGGCATCACTGCAGTTGCTCAACCACTTGCAAAGCCGGAAACCTGCCTTGCTAAGCGCTACTCTTAATTGATCCGCGAAAAGCATTGCTTGCTCGGCATCGTCAAAGGATGCTAAACAGTCATCGACGTAAAAATATCATCCAATTGTACATCTCACTTGATCGTTGCCTATGTCTGTGAATGATTCGACCGTGCGGCTTAAGGCTTAATTTGCACAAAATGGTGACGATGTGGCACCAAATTGGTGAACTAAAATTATATATTCCTTTGGTTGTTGATTGAGATCTCCATCAGGCCACCATGGGAGCCGTGATGCCCCCAAGTCACGTTCAGGCACCCTAACCGGCAAAACATTACTTGAACGTCTGCTGCTACAGCTACTTTGCCTAAGCAAAAGCGCAGAAGTACTCCAACTAAGTTAGCTACGGTATTTGGTCCGGACAATAAGTGTTGGTTAAGAAGAACTCATTGATAGATGGCTGCACAATCAAAGACTATTCTAACCTTTTCAGGTTTCTTCGGATGTACCACTGGATGATGTGGTAGGTACCACCTAGGTCTCTACGCGACTTCCTGTTGATAGTCAGGTATGCGGTCGAAATAGCCCTTTCGAAAGTGGTCGTTCGATAAACTATTGTACCTATTAAATAAATTTGGATCTCTCATAAACCTGCGTTTTAGGTATTCTAGCCTACAAATCACTAGCTCGTAGTTATTCGGCATGGTCTCTGGTTTGGTTTTCCGCTTTAATTCGATGCAAAATCGTTTCCCGTCATGTTTTATTGATGTATCTGCTATTTGTAACCCTTGACGATCTTCCTAGGAGTGATATATGATCATCGTATGCAGGTCTTCAACCTCCTTATTGTATAAATCCTCCAACATGTTGCTAGTTTTACTCTCCGGAGTAACTGTAAACATTTGTTTGCAAGCTGTTACGCTCAAGGACGGTCCCATAATGAACCATCCTTAAGCAGTTTCAATCGCAAAGACCTCATTTGGTCCGCTGTATCGATGATTAATCACTCAAGGAGCTTGGAGGACATCACAACCAATAATCAACTAAACCCTAGGGTTGGTCAGATGCTTCCTTTCTAAAACGTGTAGGTTAATCGAGCTGTTTGTTTCTTATCCGGTACCTAAGCTCTTGGCATTAATAGATAGTCCATGGTGTATGCAGTGCTCACCTTAATGCCTTTATCATCTCTAACTTTGAATGATACCCTTTGACTAACTATATGTTGCTCTCCACCCTCGGTGTGAACGTTCATTCGTACTCCCGGGGCACTTAACCCTAACAGTTCGGAAACTTCCTTACTAATTATTGTGGTGTCTGAACCGCTATCTAGCAAGGCATATACCTTCAACAATTTGTCGCCGTGCATTAGTTTTATCGGGAATATTCTGAGGTAATATCATTCGGCAAGGAACAGGAATTCCCCGCGATTGTTTTCGCATTCACGAACACTTGATCCCTACGCGACAAATGAAGCAGGCTATGATGCTTGCCGGTGCAACCATCAACCAAGCATTTACCATTTTCTTTATATGCCCTCGCCAGGTGTCCATATTTAATGCACTTATAACAAAGCTTTAATTTCTCCACAGTTTTCTGTCTCTCCACTACATCCGACTCGAGGAAACCTTGACATTTAGTAAATGAGTGTGATTTTCGACACCAAGGGCACTAAAAGTTCTGTAATGATTCTGATGTTTGTCTAACCGTAGTGACGTTTATATGCGTGTTACGCCGAGGGCCCCAGGGGCAATTAACCAATGGTGAACGTCTTTTGTCCGTTAGCCTTCCAAAAGGGCTGCTTTTAATCCTCGACTCTGCTTCTATCATTTCAATGAAGTCGGGAAACCGGTACCGTCCGCCATTTGATACGATCCCATCTGGCACTTTGGCCCACGTACGTTGTAAGCGTCTGGGCAATCGTGTACTTAAGGACTCCGGCTCGGGTATGGAATCCAACTGGGATCCACATCCCATCTGCATCGCTGTTGCACTCAATCTCTGCAGAAGCCAGCTTAGCCTCAGTCTCGCACATTTGTTGCCGAAAGACGGCTTCTTTTACCTCATATTCTAATCTGAGTCTATCCCTCAATAACCGTAGTTATACTTCTACCTTTTTCATTGCAGAACTCGTGCTGCGGTGTGATCCCCCCAAGGATGGCGCAGCACTCGAACCATTATCGATGGTGATTTCTTCACCTTCTTCTCTCCCGAGGAGGGTAGTCTGACTGAGGTTGATTGACGTTGTTGACACGACATTAAATCCAATTTAGGAACAAAATATTGAAAACAAAGAATAAGAAGGTACAAGAGCTCACCGAACGTAATTTGATTAAGGTTTGAAACTGTAACAACAATCCGAACAACGTTCAATACGAACCGCAATGTCTCGACTTCGACTGACCAAATTTCCAACATGCAGGAAAACAGTTAAATGATAGTTGAAATTTCGTTTCTATTATAGGCATACATCAATACATAATTGCTACTTAAGACACCGTCGTTGGTCCCAGTTACAGAACGACAAACAATTGAAAAAATCACGGTGCCAGACCGCAAAGAGACCGAGCGGGTAATCAGAAGGCCGGTTAAAACTACTGTCAAATGCTGAGTTCATAAAAGCGAAAGAAGAGATAAGAAAGGGAAGATAATGGAATTAGAAACGTATTGTGTACAAAAGCTTTCGAAAACCGTCCCACCGATCTTGTGGCAGTTCAATCAGCAATGCAAACAGTCAGATACTGGTCTACGGACCGAAACCTTCCAATGAACAACGACAAAGACGTAATTATGTCGTTTGGGCGGGTCCCTACACACAACGTCAGGGCTAGAGCTTCCACAACTATGGGGAGTGTAGAAAACCATAAGGTTCTTGGTTTCTGACTGACCATGGTTACTCTCGTTCTCCTACCACCAACAAAAGCTAGTAGATCCGCCTTTCGTGTTCTTAACTTCCTCAAACGCTCATTTCTCAGAGAAGACATTCAGATTCGCGAAGGACCTAGGTACTGTCGTGGCTCCCGATTTCCGTTGGGCAGAGCAGTGCACAGCAGTCGCGAAAAAATTCGCAGAGAATTGTCTTGAAGAAAACTGGAGGTGTTCGTGCCACTGTACAAGGCTATAGTCAGACCTCATCTCGAGTACTGTGTGCAGATATGGTCACCCAAACTTCGAGAAGTATGCTGCCGGCTTAGAGGGACTTCAAAGGCTAGCAACGAGATTAGTTGGAGGTCAAAGTGGGAAGTCATACGATCAGAGACTCCATGATTTAGGGCTCTTTTCTCTGGAGAGAAGACTCCGGGGTGACTCTATCAAAACCTTCATAATAATGAAGGGTTTATCAGGCGTAGGCCCGGAGAACCTGCTTCAGGAAGACATTTATTTGATAACAAGGCGTCACTGTAGGGAACTAAAAAGATCTCGATCTAGGATAGTAGCAAGGTCATTTAGTGATTCGATGGTTGCTGATGTTCGTCAGAACTTGTCACCAATGTTTGCTCACGTTCGTTCTGGATATCCGTCCCAAGAGAAAACAGAACCAAGGATTGAGTTAGTAGAAAACTATATATTCTGAAACTTCCAAAATGTTGAAAGTAAGTTTGGCTAGGCCTAGGTTGTTATTTAAGCAACTGCAGCGGAAATCTGAAAGTAGATCTGATCAATGCAAGGAAAACGTGCGATACAGAGCTCACCGTGGGGAATTGCATCGGTGCGGTCTTTTCGAGTTCATTAAAAGCACAATAATATTTAAAGCAAAACTTAATCCTGGAAATGTCCAAGTTGCTATATCTAGTGAAGAAACGTTTTCTAAAAGGTCGATACCGCAAATAATGGCGATACGTGCTAAATCTTGAAGGTACACTTGATTGTGCCCGGTAGAGAAGAAGAGTCCTGATGTTATAAGGAAAATCATAACGGTAGTTTAGCTACCTGATGGAGAGACTAAGTCACTACTTGATGTCTGAACCTTAAGGGTTCTGGTAAGTGTGTCGTGGTAAGGTAACCATGTTCTGACAATCCTCAATTACGCATGACCGGTTGGAAACTGAACCTGTTCTGCTGCTTATCACCATTGTAGGGTGAAAGTGCTTTTGGTCCGTGATTTGATGATCACTTCCACCTTGAGAGAATCTATCAATATATCTTCAGACTGGAAGAAGGTAACTATAATTCCCGTTTTCAAAGACGAAGATAGGTCTAGTATTTCAAACTACAGACCTATTAGCCTAACCAGTATGTTAACTAAAACGCTTGAGCGCATCCTGCGCGACAAGATATTCCCTTTCTTCTCAGCAAAGGCTTCTTCAGCGACGTGCTGCGTGGGTTCTTAAAGGGCAAATCCTACCTCTCGAACCTGCTCACCTTCCTGGACGTTATCACGGACAGGCTGGATATAGGCATCCACCTCGAAGTTTGCTACTTGAATTTCCAAAATGCCTTCGACTCCGTGAACCACCGACTACTGAGCTTCACACTCAGAAAAGCGGGAATCTCCAAGACCATATGCGGCTGGATAGAAAACTTCCTCACCGGTCGTTCATTCTTAGTCAAAGTCAGAGAGGCTCACTCAGGCGTTGGCTCCTCTACCAGTGGAGTACCCCAAGGATGCATACATGCACCCTTACTCTTCCTTATCTTCGTGAACGATATCACCGAAGGCCTTGAAAATCCCTATTTTCTCTACGCTGACGACGTTAAGTTAGTAGGCAACAGTAGCCATCTAGACACCGTCCAAGCTGACATCCACAAAATATGTAGATAGTGAGCCAAATGGGATCTATAGCTGAACGCACTGAAAAGCCACATGCTTTCAGGCGTCGCAGGCCCTTCGATCTTCGTCATCAACCCTCTTGGGATTCCGAAACCCCTACTATCGAAAAGCAGTACGATAGACCTAGGGGTCAGAGTGACATGCAAATTTACTCCATTTGCAGCATGCTACGCAGCAGCTGTAAAGGCCCGTAGAGCACTTTTCTGTCTTCAAACCGCCACAACGAACAGAATTGCTGACGTTTTCATCCCGTTATACGCAGCATTCGTCCGTCCTCACCTCAAATACTGTGTTCAAGTGTGGGCTCCATTCCTCCGTAAGGATATCCAGAGGCTGGAGCAAGTCCAAAGGCTCGCTACCCGAATGGTATTGGGAATGAAACAGCTGAGCTACAGAGAAAGGCTCCTGGCACTAAACCTCTTCTCCCTCGAAAGGCGCAGACTACGAGGAGACCTGATTGAGATGTTCAAAATATTTAGAAATCTCAACAGTTATCCAATGGGTCACACGTTCCGCCTGGGGGAAGATAAAGGTCTCCGAGGGCATCCATACACTCTGGAGCGGACTAGAAGCCGACTGCAAATCAGGCACCACTTCTCAAATAGAGTAGTCCCAGCGCGAGTTAGACACAGCCTGGAGTTCCTTTTTCAGACTTATGGTAATGTTAACTCACTCTGACCCCCAAGAAACAGAGGCTGCGCCATCTCCTTTTCTTTCCATAATTCCAGATAACTCCGGATCGCTCAAACCGGTAACAATACCAACTTGCAGGCAAGTCAGTTTCAGGTCACGCCACTACCAGGACACCTCACAGGCGAAGGCCCTCTCACGTCCTGCAATTTGAAATTTGAGAGGAGGAAAACTGCCGTTGCGAGTCTTTCGGTTGAAGAAGCGCTATATCGGCTGATAGAAACCTTCAAAATCATGAAGGGAATATCGGCGATAGAAGCGGACAGTCTCTTCATATTAACTCCCCAACACGGCACTAGGGACGTGAGTTCTAGCTCATTAAGCAGAGTTGTCGATCAAACATGAGGAAGCACCTTTTCAGCAATAGGATAGTCGACAGTTGGAACCGGCTTCCCAAGGAAATAGTAGACTTCCAAACAGTGCAAGTCTTTAGGAATTTTCGATAAGCGATGGATGGGACTGTTTCCATCTCTTGCAGTGTAGACGCGTGTAGGTGTGCCAACTGTCTAGGATGACATTTCCCGTTTTTTAATGGTGCACTTCATGGAACGCTCTCGTCTAACGATTCATTCACCAACTTGTCAAGATGAGATCCTGTTTCTCATTTTTATGTCAGAAGAGCTGGATGCCCACGTAGTGAGCATACCATCGAAGTAAATCTGGACGCTCGATTGGCAAACTGATCACCAAGGTTAGCGACCAAAAGAGTGCAAGGCGAGCTCACGCAGAATACCAACGCGATCCCTCGAGAAACGTATGGCAATATTGCCGGGCGCAGCCTCAGAAATGTTTTAAGTTCGGGGCTGAGGATGTTCACTTCATCTCCGATAACAGGCATATTGCCATTAAAAGAGGCGGCAAGCACCCAGGAGATCTATCCGCCAACCACCACTACTGGGGTTCCAAAACTCGGACTCAGCCCTCGGGAGAGAGACCCGAAGGATTGCCAGTGAAGTTCCAGGGAATGAAACACTCACTCTGGCCCAAAACTAGACACACCGGAGACCAGTCGGTCGAAGGGAATCGATCCGAGCGGAAAATAGAAGAAAGGCCTGTAAAAAGTGTTAGGGTTACTGATGGGGTCCCAAACTAGAGGGAGGAAAATTATAATCAATCAGAACTCAGACGGCTACACGAGCCACCAGTGCCCTAGGGCTAACATGAAACTGCAGGCTAAAAGCAGTTTTGAAGTGCTCCTCACCAATGCGTGTAGTATTAGTAACAAATGGGAGGATCTGAAATCAGAGGCCTTTGGTGTACAGTGCATGGCCATAACAGAGAAATGGTTAAACCCAGAGGAGAGTATCAGCACGTACATTTCGGAGGACTACTGTTCCTATAGACCTGACAGAGAAGACGGGAGAGTAGGAGGAGTCATGCTGCTAATGGAAAAATACCTTGAGCAGCGGGCCGGAATCACACCAAACTCTCCCTGCATCCAAGCTGTCTCGTGCAAGGTCAAAAGTGGGAGCGAGTGGGTCAACTTCGTTTGCGTATATAGAAGCTCATCAACGAGTGTGGATGAGGACGCTACCTCGCTAGATCTACTGGAAATCGTGGGCGAAGCAGCTGATAACATAATCATAATTGGGGACTTTAACGCACCAGAAGTA